CTCCGGTGTCGTGTTCATGACGGATGCAGATCTCTCTTGGTCGGTGTCGTCTACAGAGCGCCAGCGGGCTCTGGAGCGCGCTTGTTGGGCTCGAAAAAGGATGCACGGTGGGCGCAAGGACTGTCTAATCTTTGGGGATTTCAGTGCACCGGATATCGATTGGGATCTACTTCTTTGTGATCGCCGATCTGACTCCTTCGATGCCACATTGCTTAAAACCGCTCTCGATTGCAGCCTCATTTAACATGTCTTGACGCCTACTCGTATTTTCCCAGACCAGACCCTGCGCATCCTAGATCTCGTGCTCTCCGGCAGATTCGGATGTCACGAACCTAACCGTACTTCAACCCATGGGCAAGAACGATCATTGTGTTGTTTCATTTCACTGGGCTCGCCGTCTCACGATCCCTAGCCACTGTAGTCACCGACGGAATTTTTGGCGTGCCAATCCACTCTGTCTGAAAACGGCCGCAAGCTCTACGGACTGGGGTATCCCTGAACACATTTACCTCGACGACGCGTGGAATCTTTTACTTTATAAAATGACGTTGTTAAGTGAGCAGGTCATTCCCTCCTCCCATCGAAAGTCGTTCACTAGAGGTCCACCTTGGATGGATCGAGAATTGAGGTCAACTATGAATAGAAGGCGCAAATTATGGGACCGCTTTAGGCAATCTCAATCAGAACCCGATTTCTCTCACTACAAGACTGTCAGAAATGTTTGTGTCGCGATGAAGCGTCAGAAACGCCGACAATACGAACTATCCTTGGCACAACACTCCAGAATCGCGCCTAAAATGCTCTACTCTTATTTGAAAAGAAGCACTTGAGCTAGTAGTGGCATCCCTGCTTTGTGTTCCTGTGATCATCAAGCTTTACTTCACGAGGATGCTGAGAAAGCTAGTCACTTGGCTAAGCAAAACGCTTCTGTTTACGCGAAAGAAACACCATTTAGTGACAGAGCCGTATCCACCTTTGCATCTTCGTTGGCGCAAGTAGATATTAACCCTGATTCTGTAATGAAACTTCTTCTTGAGTTAGATCCGTACAGCTCACCCGGCCCTAATGGATTGCATCCTTTGTTCCTCAGGACTGTGGCGGAGTACATAGCTTCACCCATATGTCAAGTCTTTCGTCGCTCACTAGAAGTTGGCCGTCTTCCGTCAGCTGGAAAGTGGGTCTCGTCAAACCCATCTACAAAGAAGGAAGTCGACATGATCCGGCCAATTATCGTCCAATCTGTTTGATGTCAATCGTGTGTAAAGTTATGGAACAGATCCTAAAACAAGCTGTTACTCTTCATCTTGGGAGACTGAATGTCATTTCTTATGCCCAGCATGGGTTCCGAAAAGCACGCTCCTGTACCTCGAACTTGTTCGTTGCAAGGAGACCTAGGCAAGGGCACTAGACTCCGGCAAACGCTTGGACATTGTGTTTGTTGACTTCAGTAAAGCTTTTGACAAAGTCCCGCATGAACGGCTTCTGTTTAAACTCCAAGGAATCGGTATTTCCGGGAACCTTCTGTCTTGGATCGCCGACTTCCTAAACGACGGTTCCATTGAAGTGAAGGTGAATGACACGTTTTCTGCTCCTGTTCTCATAACGAGTGGGGTCCCACAGAACTCTGTCCTCGGCCCCGTACTTTTCAACATCTTCATCAACGACTTCTGTCTACGCTGACGACCAAAAGCTGTGAATGGAAGTATCCAGCCTTGAAGACGCGGAAAGATTACAATCTACGCTCGATCTACTCCATGATTAATCGATTAGGTGGCAGTTGCTCGTAAATCGTGATAAATGCTCTGTTCTCCCCGTTGGTTCATCTAACCCATTTAGAACTTATCACCTTGGTGGTTCCTTGCTTAGAAGCGCAACCCAAGAGAGGAATCTTGGAGTGATAGTGTCATCAGACCTCAAATCTATTCAAGACACCCAGCAGAGGGTCGCCACGGCCTATAGGATGTTCCGTCCTATAAGTAGAGGGTTTTCTCTCCTGACCCCGGGGCTTTTCCGACACCTCTTCGGTTCGCATGTACGCCCGATTCTCGAATACGGGCTAACTGCTTCCTATCCTCTCACCGAATCCGAAGGTAATATAATGGAGAAGGTTCAACGACGTGGACCCAAATCCGTCCCTGAGTTGTGAGACCTGTCGTATCCACTCCGACTTCGACGACTGAACTTATTCTGTCTAGGTTCCCGCCGTCACCGCGGAGATTTAATATTCACTCGACGTATTCTCAGAGGAGAACTGGGTTGTGAGTTACAGGACTTTTTCAACTCAACACTGAGAGTTCGACACGAGGCCATCGCTTGAAACTGTTCAAACCGAGGAATTTCCGTGTGCGGCTCAATCTGGCCTTATTAACCCGCGTAGTGGATGATTAGAACCGGTTGCCGGAGCCTATTGTTGATGCTGAGACAGAGAAACGTTTCGAACGACTGTTGGATTCTCACCTGAGTGCGCTGGGATTCGGCTGCATCTAAGACAACTAAAGTGGTCCTCTGCGGAACCTTGTGCCGCAATGACTCACGCCATCACTGCAATGATCGGGAAGTGAAGGAGCTGACAAAGGATCATCCTTCTGCTCTCTATCATTCAATGATCCAATATACGAGCCTTCGAGACGCAAAGTATTTACAGAACGCGTCGAGGACGTTGCTGGTTTCAGTTTAGCGTCCGGTTTTATAGACTTCGACGTCGTAGACGAGTTCACCTGCGACCAGAGAGTAGTAGCAGAAGTTGAGGGGAGTGGGGATAGAGCACTCGACGGAGCTACTACGTATGACTTGAGTTTTGCCCCTTGTGTAACTCTCTTCCGCTTTCCTTTAACAAGGGTAGAAGCCAGCTTGTCTCCCTCGCTAACAGACGAATCAAACACGGTATCTGAGGGTTCGTCACTATGTGTCGCTACTAATTGGTGTACTGAAAGTAGACTGTGAGCAAACAGACGACGTATCTGGCAACTTTTAAGCATCTTCCACTGCCTCCTGACGGAGACACACACTTCACAATCCAATCAAACTTCCTGTCCAGTGAACACCTCATAAATCAGGCTATCCAAAGAAACAGGACTGTTCTGTACTCGCGTGTAACGCTCGGCTCTAGGCACACAGCAGTCACCACAACTGTATGGTATGCTCTCGCTGCTAGCCATAAGGGAATACTGTATGGGATCCAAGCCAGTACAGTCTTCATGGAACCAACGGCCATAGATATCGCATTGCATGCCCCGAAATGAATCTGTGACCGTTTTAAGACACCTTGATTTGCCACATATAACGAACGAGTCGTCGGAAGGAGCACACGACGAGTTTGGACAGCACTGTCGGCCGGTGGCCGAGTGGTTGGCACGTTTGCTTTCCAACCATAAGGTCACCGGTTCGAATCAGCGTAGGGGTGGGCGTCCAAGCGGTATACTCAGCCCGCGCGCGACTGGTAGTGGTCGCGCGGCAGCGAAGCGCCGTTACGGCGTATAAGCTGACACATTTCATTTTCATTTCATTTGGACAGCATTGAACAACCATCTCGACAGAAATGAGCCAGAAAATCAAATAAATGTAGGAGAGAAGCAACAGAGTTGTCAGGCTAGACCTTACCGTGGTGCGATGGTTTGCGTGCCTCAGAGATCCATTGAGCTATGCTGGGTGGTGCATTTATGCACCTTCAGAGCCACTCATATAAGACTGGTCAGTGGTTAGAGGCCAGATAAATTCAGCCTCCTGGTCCTCCAGGTTGGGGGTTGGAATGGGGGTGGCTCCTCATTTCATAAAACGAGCTCTGTAGTCCAGTGCCAAAACCCGCTGCCTTGCGGTAAGGTTTTTGAACCAAACGCCTTAGTTGAGAACCCTAATCGTTCTCCTGTCTAGGCCTGGGCAACCTGACAGTATTCTACCCACGCAATACAATGAACCTTACCTACAACAATTTCTTGATGCTCTGACCGCCGCAGAGAATAATAAACGGTGCCCTATCTGCTGCATCGAGCAGGGTGGATAGGGGTATGGATGCTACTGCTCAGGCCTTCTCGTCTGCTTATTCCCCTTCTTGCGCTTCTTCATCCTTATCGTCCCGCTTTTATTATACTTTTTACTTAAATCCCCCCCCATTTTCAATCCCCCAATTCTTGGCCCTCCCCCAGCTTACTTCAATAGTCGCTTGTCTTCTAATTTCAAATCACACACAATCCCAGGGCCTCGCTCCAATCCAGTCGACAAGTCCATGTTCAACCAAGCGGACAACGTCAGTTCATCCGTTTCCCTTTGGAGTCCTCGTGTCTCGCTAAGATTGGCATGCCTCAACGTGCGCACTTTGCTGCAGATTGGCCAACAGGCAGCACTTGCCCGCACACTAGAGACCCTATCGATTGATATTTCCCGTTTATCAGAAACCCGCCTGCAAGGTTCGAGCTCCGTGCTTACCCTGAGATCCCCCACATGCGACACTGGCGGCACATTCTCATTGCGCCTGTCTGGCGATGATGCAGATTCAAATACCGGTCAAGCTGGCGCCGGCATTGTTTTGAGTCCCCGGGCTGAAGCTGCCCTGATTGAGTGGATCCCAGTAAACAGTAGGATGTGCGCCGTTAGATTAGCTGGTTCGTTCCGTGCTACGAAGTCGCGCGGGGACAAAAGGTGCCTGTTTGTCATTGCGGCCTATGCCCCTACAAACTGTAGCACTGATTCATCATCATCATCATCAACAGCAGTACATCAGCCATTTGAACTGATGTTTCGCTGCCATACAACCATGAGGACCTATGAAATAAAGAATAAGAAGAGGGAGAGAAGGGGGAACTACCTGAAAACCTTAATGCCCTAAGCAAACATTCTGGGTCAAGGCGCCTACACCTTGTGTAGACAACATACCGTCACAAACAGCTGGCTATCGTGCAAAGATAAGGAGGCATCGGCGAGACAGCTTCCTTGCGGCTTTCACTGCCACGCGTCATAATCAGCCATTACCCCGCAGATAACTCAGCACCAAACACACTTTAAACAGACAATCCGATTAGGAGACGGCAGCAGACGCGCCACTGGTGTCTACTGCGAGCCATGTCCTGTAAAGTCTCGAGCCAAGCACAGGGTGAGTCAAGTGGACTCCAACCCGGAAGGCGAGACGGACCAACGGCACCCAGTTTGGTTGTCAGTAACTTCATTTCCCGCTGCCAAGTCAACTTCTGTCCACCTCGAGCCTTGCGCCACCCTACATCTGGCAGACTAAACAAGGCTCTCCTAGGTAAGCGGTGACCAGGCATACGTAGCACGTGCCCGAGCCAACGCAACTCATTCAGTGCTATCTGTTGTTCTAGGGTGCTAGCATGATCATCACCACTTAGTACTCGCCTACGCACATCATCGTTGCGGAAACGCTGGTGCCATCTGACACCGGCAATGCTTCGCAAACAACGATGATCAAAGACTTGAAGGCGCCTCAGATCTTCAGACCGAAGGGGCCAAGTCTCACTACCATACAGCAGAACGGCCCTCACTGTGGCCTTGTATACACGACCTTTCAGACGGAGGGAAACTCCGTTCTGTCGCCAAAGATGTCGTAGGTTCAAGAAGGCAGCTCTGGCCTTTGCAATGCGTGAGCTCACGTCAGTTTCTATGCGCCCATCATTGCTGACGCAGCTGCCAAGGTAAGTGAAATGATCAACCACCTCGAGTTCCTCGTTAGCAAGCGTCAAGGGGTCATCAAGTGGCTGGTGGTCCTGCAGCAACACTTTGCACTTTGAAGGTGCGAAGTGCATACCAAATAATGGTACCACTCTGGACAGGCTATTCAGGGTTGATTGTGCCGCCTCAACATTGTCGAAAAGCAAGACGATATCGTCCGCATAATCTAGATCAACTAACCGTTCACCAGGCAGCACTTCAACGCCTACATCGTTGGATTCCGTCAGGGAACACTCCATGATAGAATCCACGACGAAATTGAACAAAAACGGGGAAATCGGGCAACCCTGACGAACGCCACTTGTAGTCGAAAAGCTATCCGATAGGACACCATAGACCCTGACGCGGCCTGTAGTGTTCGAGTATAGAGCAAGAAGGATGTTCGCATATTTCGTGGGAACACCTTTCCGCGCAAGTAATTCGAACAGAATCGATCGATCGACTGAATCGAACGCACTCCTGAAATCGAGGAACACAGTTATTGTCGGTCTTCGGTATGCGTGGCGCTGCTCTAGCACCTGCCGCAAAGTAAATATATGGTCTATACAGCCACGTCGTGGGCGAAAACCGGCCTGCTCTTCCCTAATCCGGGATTCCCGTTCTGCAGTGAGGCGACGAACGATAATCCAGGCCAGTAATTTTGTCACAACTGGTGTTAGGCTAGTACCCCTGTGGTTCGCACAGTCTGTGCAACTGCCCCTTTTGTATATTGCCACTATAATCGATTCGCTCCAATTAGCCGACACACTCTTCGTTCCAGATACGTTCGAATAGGGAGGTCAGTGCTTTGCAGAGGACCTCACCTCCATCCTTAAATAGTGCAGGTGGGAGGGAATCCGGGTCAGCGGCACGAAAACGATTGAGGGCTGTGATCGCGTTTCGGACCTCGGCCTCTGAGGGAGGCTCTAGACTAACCGTCCATGGCTCGTCCTGCATCACTTGAGTAGGAAGAGGTCCGGGAACAGGGGGCCAGCTGAACTGAGCTTCAAAGTGTTCAGCCCAACGAGCCATACGGCCCTCCTTATTGTGTATCAGCGTACCCGCGCTGTCTCTGATTGTCTCACTGACGCCTGGTTTTCTGTGACCAGTGGTGCGTATAAGCTGGAAGAGCTTGCGGTAATTGCCTACTGCTCCTGCCTCCTCCATTTCTTGAGCCCGACTAGTCCACCAGGCTTCCTTGTCAGCACGTAGGCTCCATTTTAGTTCACGCCTAATAGCCTGTCTGGTCACATTGTATTCAGAACCAGCCGGGAGGTGCCTTCTAGCTTCCAAAAGGTTCACGGACCTTTCGGACATCCAGTGACTAATTCGGTGACGACGGATAGTGCCACAAGCAGATGCTCCTGCGTCGTGCATGGCAGCCGAGATCCTATTCCACTGAAGTTCAGCGTCATTAGGACAAGACAGCGAGAGTTCGGTATGCAGTGCTTCTTGATAGGCTTGCCTGACAGAGGGCTGGGACAATTTCTCCGTTGCCAATCGGGGGAGACGCTTTGTGCGCCTTCCGATAAAGTTCATGGAGAAACGACAGCGCACCAAGGCATGATTCGGTAAGATGATTTCTATCAGCAACTTCACCAGCTCCTTCGTTACAGAAGAAGCACGGATACTGTGGTGTTGGCTGGCGATCTAAACGCCCAAGTCGGAATATTGTCCTTTGGTGAGCTTCATCTGGGCGGCCAACATGGTGTAGGCTCCCGTAATGATAATGGTGAGCGATTGCTACAGCTGTATGAAGATGCTCGCGTCCTTCTCGCGAGCAGTAACTTTCGACACAGCACCCGCAGAAGTGTGACTTGGCGGCCACCAGTCTCGAGCCAGCCATGGATGCAAATCGATTATATCGTGATCAGTTGCCGCTGGAGAGGCTGTGTCCAAAACTATTGCTCGATTTGGAGCACGAGCGTGGACTCCGACCACGCACTTGTCTGTGCCGACTTCCCGGTGCGTTTCGGTGGACGTCCGCAACGTCATTGTGAACGGATTGACACCAGTCAGCTGGCAAAGCCAGATGTTCTGAATGTGTGCCAAAGTGCGCTGAGATCTGGGCTGAGTAAGCGCCCACTAAACACCGTTGAAGATCACTGGTCGCATATTCGTCAAGCATTGCTGTTAGCAGGCATGTCTTCATGTGGCAAAGCAAATTGTCAAACCGGACATTGGGTCTCTACACAGTCTCTGGAACTTATGGATGCTCGCCGACGTATTCCGGCTGGAAGCGAATATAATGAGACTCGCAAAAATCTCAGGGCAAAATTACGTGTTAGCCTAAAGAAGGACCGCGAAACCTGGTGGTCTCATCGTGACTCCGAGATGGAAACAGCCGCTGCCATTGGTAATCATCGTAAGTTCGAGATGGAAACAGCCGCTGCCATTGGTAATCATCGTAAGTTATTCCGTCTGATACGGGCAACAGGCAGCAGGAGACCTGGTGTTAGCGAGACCATACGCGACGAGAGTGGGCAGCCGATCCACAGCCTGTCAAAACGCTTGGAACGTTGGGCTGAACACTTTGCTAGGCAATTTAACCAACTTGAGTTATCGCTTTCTTCGGGCATTGAGCGCCCTTCTCCCTGGACCCGCCCTCACGCACAGAAGTCGAAGGTGAGATCAGGCTGTTGAAATTGGATAAGGCCGCAAGGGCAGATAGAATTTCCCCAGCCCTCTTCCAATTTGGGGGACCTGCTCTAGTAGATGATCTACACGAGTTGCTAGTAAAACTTTGGGAGCAGGAGACAGTCCCGACAGACTGGAACCGCTCCGTCATTGTCCCAATTTTCAAGGGAGACTCCCGTTTAGAATGCGGCAATAATAGAGGGATCAGGCTGATTTCGGTTGCCTCTAAATTGCTTGCCTCTGTCATTCTTCACAGACTGACTTGCACTCGTGAAAGCCAGATTCGTGAAGAGCACGCCGGATTTCGTCGAGGTCGGGGCTGCATCGACCACATCTTTACCTTGCGTCAAGTGTTGGAGCACCGCCGTGTTTATTGGCGACCCACCGTTGTCGTGTTTCTTGACATAAAAGGTGCCTTCGACTCAGCCGATCGATGTGCCCTTTGGGACTGTCTGCTGAGGAAAGGTAAGCCTGATAAATATGTAAACATTATCAAAGCGCTGTACGCATGTAGTTCGGGCAGGGTGAGGGTTTATGGCAAACTCTCGCCATCCTTCAGTATCACCAGCGTGTGAGACAAGGATGCCCGCTGTCACCTTTCCTCTTCAAATTCGCTATTGATGTAGTCATGGAAACAGCGTTCGCTGGACACGACCTAGAAGGTGTGGAGCTACTTTCTGGTGAACGACTTCTTGACCTGGAGTACGCGGACGATATTGCCCCAATCTGTGACGGCTCCCAAACATGCCAAACAGCACTGAACCGATTAGCACTGGCTGTCAATCGTTTTGGGCTATGCTTTGCTCCATCGAAATGCAAAGTACTTCTCCAAGATTGGCAGGGACCCAACCCTGCGCTAACGCTTGGTGGTGATCTGCTCGAAGTCGTTCAGGAATTCAAGTACCTGGGCAGCTATATTAGCACCCGTGGGATTGAAGATGAGGTTACGAACCGTATAGCAAAAGATTGAGGTGCTTTTGACAATCTCCGCCACCTGTGGCGCAGACGCGACATTACTCTCGCCCTCAAGGGCAGAGTTTACAACGCAGCCGTCCGTTCAACTCTCCTATATGGCTGTGAAACCTGGCCCATCAGGTCGACAGACATGAAGAGGCTCGTCACATTCGATCATCGCTGCCTTCGCAGCTTAGCTCATGTCTGGTGGGAACACCGCGTGAGCAATGAGCGTGTTCGACGTCGCGTATTTGGTGCAGGAAGAGCGAGTGAACCGCTCAGCACCATTATATCACGCACCAGGCTCCGATGGCTGGGCCACGTGTTGCGCATGCCAGCACACCGACTCCCACGACGTGCATTGTTTGCGCGTTGTGGGTGCGGTTGGAAGAGGAGGAGGGGAGGCCAAGTGATGACTTGGTCGAGAGAAATGAAAACCCTCACTTCGAAGTTGGCGTCGGTTGGTGCATCCCGACTGCCTGGCTGGGGTCCTAAGGACGGTGAACACGTTTGGTTGGACACACTTGCTGATATGGTTTGGAGCGGGCCCCAATGGCGTTTGTGTTGTGAGTTCCTTTGTCCATCCCCCTCCTGCTTAGCATCCCCCTCCAATCACGATCTCAACTGTTAGGCATAATATGACTCTTTTACGGCAGCCAGCTGTTAGCTCTCCGGAACGACGTCCATCCGTTACTGGGGACTCAGCGGGCGTGCCACTGTTTGTTTTTTTCTTTTCTTGTCTTTCGTATTGCGGCACAATAGCTGAGGTGTTTTCCACCTCCAGCTAACGTGTAATGATGATGATGATGATGTCGGTTTACGGTGACCAACTATGCAATCGAAGATAAAACCAGTAGGAAAGACCAAGTGTGATATGTATGAATTGAAATGGACTCACCAAATCGTAAAAGGCGTTACAAAGCCGACGTGAACTCCAAGAATGTGACAATAAATTCTTTGCAAAAGAGCAAAGGCACCAAGAACAGAAAACAAAAGACCCGCTGACAAATTCAACTACAAGGAGCAATCCAAGTAAATCCGCCTTTGCTAAATGACTAACGGCACGCAAGTGGCGAGCGGTAGCTGGTTAGCGTCCAGTCGCAAAAAGACGGGTAATGATTCAAGGCTTCAGAAATCAGAGGGTCAGAAAACAGGATTCTGTGCGGGAAAATTCACAAAGAGCACGCCTGTAGTAATCTGGAGATTGTCCTGTTTGTCTGTGTAGAATATTACTAAAATATAGTATAATTCTGTACATAGACAACTTAGGAAGCTTGGCTGCTCACACGATGAATACGTGTGTCTGAGCCACCCAGACGAACCGCATTCGCGTGCTTCAGGAACTGAGGTCCCCACACATCAGTAAATCAGGTAATTGGGCCTTGTTTGTCAGGTACATTGGTGTGTAGAGAGCAGACCCTTGTCAGCTCCGTCGGTTCCGATTCAGTGCAGGTTTGAGGCAATTGGCTGCGAAGCGGTATTCCTCTGGGATCGTCGCCATTGCAGTAGGAGCAGCAGAACGCTGGCAGTCAAGTAGCCGTTTGAAACTTTCCTCTTGGGGGCATCAAAAATGATCTTCGGAAGGTTGTTACAATCATTCACTACACGAATTGATGGGGCAGTCTCTGGACGGACGTGAAGTATTCGGCTCTTGTACAACTTTCACTTGTGGCTTCGTGTCGGGCTGTCCACGTTGAGCAGAAAGTGCTTTTGTACCTCACTCCCAAGTTCTCCTC